TCTGGCCATCCTAAACCCATCCTTCTGTCCATCTTCCTACTACTACTACTACTACTACTACTACTTTTTTTTTTTAAATTGGCCTCCAGCCTCCCCCAATAGCCACACCTTCGCCACCATTTATTTACCTTAATATTAAATATCCTAATACATAAGAAACTATCCTATCTGTGTTAAATTAGTTGAGCCGCAGATCATGCGGCATTCAGTGACTGTAGCCTCATAGTCGATATCTGCAGCAGTTGTCGGAGTAGGGGCAGAAGCTCTCGTTCCCCTGAGGCAGAGCAAAGCCGACCGAAGGAGAGAGAAGGACAGTCGACATCTCATCCAGGCTGTGACATAACTTCTGGGCTGCTGCTTCTGTTCGGAGATCAGCTCCGCGAGTCTGGCGTAGAAACATCTTGCACTTGGGCCCATCCCACCAGAGGTTGTGAACACTAGAGGAGTGAAGCTGCCTTGATCAACATTTTGAATTCTCTCCCCATATGCCCTTCTCTTGTCGTTCTCGTTCCTCCTATGCGCAGCATCGAGAGCTAGGTTACGGTGACAAACGGCCATGGGATCAAAAATCCTGATGTCGAAGAAAGCTCGCTGTCCCCGCGTCCAGAATCCTCGAGCACTGACGTCCACACGGGCTTCGTTAGATGTGTTTGAAGTCCTGTGTTGGAAGATCTCGCCATCCAGTGGAAGGAGGGTCGGTTCTACCATGACGTCCCGGCAGATTTCCTTCAACATATTTGCTGTGAGATCCCTTACCTCGTCATGCCTCATGCATATGAAGCCCCCCTTCTTGCAAACCATGGCGTGATCACCATCATAGGAATAGCCACACACGCATTGGGAGGGCAAACCATCTACTGGCCAACCGTACCTTAGAGCAATGGCATCTGTAAATTCTTGTTTGTTAAGGCTGAAACCATTTGCCCTTATCGGTAATGTAGTTAACCAGTTCGAGGCGCCCACCTCCTGCGCTATAGCTACTTTTTTTGTCAAATTTTCTGGAACCAGCAGCAATAGTTGCTGCAACATGTCATTTTGGCAGTGCTGCCGATCTGTTGTAATGGACCTACGGATCTTATTAACTTCGCTGGTGTCCACTTCCCTTGTTGCATTCTGGGCTATTATGTGGTCAGTGAGGGCTGCCGTGAGCTTAAGTGAATTTTGATGTTCAGAGTCAGCAATCTCCTCTGGATTAGTTAGTCCCATCCCTCCCAGTCTTGGTGGAAGTGCAAGAAGTGTTCTTTCTTCTAGAGTTAGGTCGTGGTGTTTCACTAGTTTGGGAATGAACTTGACACTGATTGCTTCTTCCAAAGGGTGGAGGAGGGGTCGGATCTCAGGGATGGTACGCATCAGGTAGTTCCAACGATGCTTGACTCCATGTGTGAATGCTGCAAAGGCCGCATGTGGCTCTGTGTTTGCAATCTCCGATAGAGCATGGACTTCGCTAACCCACTCATTCACCTTTCCCCCTACGTACTGGGTCTTGAAGTCCGTAGTGCCAATTACTGCGCCTAGATGTCTTTGGCCGTCCTTAGTAATTTTGACCTCACTTTCGCCGAAAACCTCCAAAGCCCGATCATAATGATCTGGCTTCACGATGAGGAAGGATTTGCTGGCGTTAGGGTGGTACCCTATTTGTGGACCTCGCGATGTTACCAGGTCCCACCACTTTTTGATGTCCTCCACTTTTCCTGCTCCTGTGAGGTCATCAGCATATGCCACTTGTTTGACCCCAGTTGTTTCATACTTTATTTCTTGTTGGAGCACTGATAGGCCTATTGCATACATTGCCATTGCAACGGGGTCCCCCTGTGTTGTTCCCTCGGTCGACTGTAGGATGGTATCACCTCGTAGAGCCTTGTTGTTTACTATGTAGAGGTCTGAAGGATTCCTATACGAATTTTCAACATACATCGCAAAGCTAGGACACTTGATCTTGATGTTGTGCAGTGCAGCCTTGCGGTTAAGTATGTTGAATGCGTTTGAAGCATCCACCAGGAGAACGGCCTCACAATCACGCTGCTCAAATATCAATCTCATGGCGTGAATGGCCGCCTCCCCACCAGCCTGGTGGCCAGCACACACTTGTAGGTTCCCTGCTGCTGCCCTGACATCGTCCTTTACCACCTCCATTATGCACTTTCCGATGATCCGCCTCAGCACTTCCCCCACCCCTATAGGTCTACATCCTGGATTCTTTTCCAGAGGAATAAGGCGGCAGGCCGTCAGAGCCTGGAGGTGATGGCAGCAAGAGGATGCAAGCTTTCTTGCAAGGGTGGCAATGGCAGTGCAGAGTTCGCTTGCTACAGGGCCAAACTTGTTAGTGCTGAGGATGACTCTCCAACCGTTTGCATCCAGACCTGAAGGGCCGGCTCCTCCTCGAGTCTTCAGTGCCTTTTTCCACACCATCTCTCCTGTTATTTTCTCGAACAGGACAACATTTGGTGGGATATAGGCACCCTGGAGCCTGATGCCTTCATCTTCACTTGCAGGGGGATGTTTCTCTCTCAGTAGTTGTAAAGTCGCTCTGTTTATTGGCATCACCCCACCGGAAGATTCCTGAGTGAGAGATCTTACCGCGAGAGACACTTTTCCCACACGCATTTTGTTTCCAAATTTTCTTGCCACGTCATCGGTGTTTTGCTTTCCGTCACCCGTAGATTTTAGTCTCTCCTGCAGTGTTCTTGCTTCACATAGGAGATCATCTAGGGCCCCAGTCCGCCACATTGTCGATCTTCTCTTCATTGCTGCCACATTTTCTTTGTGCTTAGCCTTTGTGTGTGTCCTCTGACAAAAAAGATGTGGTATTATTGCCAGTATTTGAAGAGCTAGGGGGGCGAGGAAGCGGTCCTGAGTGTAATCAGTCATGAAGAAAGTCATCTCCCGAATCATTTCTTTGGTGGCCGCACACTTGGGTGGTTCAAATAAGTTAGCGGGCGACCACTTGACAATTTCTGAGTAGGTTTCTTTGACCCATACGCCTGCATTTTCCATCGACATGCCTTTCCACTGAGGCGGCAGTCTCTCATTCTCCTCCTGGACACCTGCTACTGAGGGAGCAGCATTTATTAGTACTACATTTTCGGGTTGAGTAGACTCACTGCTATCATTTGGGATATCATCGGGTGGTTGGGTCCCGGCGATATCCACTGTGGCCGCCTGTGTCGGCTCCCTGCGACGTGGGTTCCGACACTGGTCTAGCTTCCTGCAATTCACACATGGTCGGTTGTTTCTCGCACAAACACAATTTGTGCAGTTTTGGTTCGGGCTAGCACAGACGCAGCAAGGAATGTTACCAGGCATAGTGACCAGCACCTTGGGCGACGGTAACGTCCGCCTCCGGACATCTGATTTAGTCCCAGGCACAAGATTATACTGGTTCTTATGAGGGAAGGGCGGAGAGGTGACAGGCTGGACTGGTGTGTCCAGGTAGTAGGGGCATACGTGCGCGCGTGGGTGTGTAGGCTACCCCCCCTAATAGCGACCATCCATACATCAGAATGATACACTATGGACAAGAGTTTGTCACACCAGGCACTAGTTTATATTTCCTTGGCACAAATAACCACTATTTATATGGTCTCACTGGTGTAATATCAGTTATGTATACTCACTAGGTTCGTCGAGACCCTACATTAAGAGTCCGTTACTATGGTGGTGGGGGGGGGGTGGGGGCGACCGCATGGGCAGCACTCTCGGCCCCATAGGGGCGATAGTCTCGGGACCACCCCTGTCACAGTAGGCCTAACGACACTGACCTTGGCGCCGAGCCTTCTCATTATCCTACCACTGACCCAGCACAGGTCACCACTCACTTGGTGAACGCCGGTGAACACACGGAATATTTACAATTTATGCCGTAAGGGATGAGAAGAAACCTTGGGTGGCAATGCTTAGGGTGACATCCGATATTCACGGACACATTGTCAAATTCCCGCTCCCACACAACGAGTATGTCCCCACCAATAACACTTTAGATCAGGAGGGACGGTCCACGACACCCACGCCGCGCTGGCCGCCTACTACTACTACTACTTTGCTATCACTCGGAATCGAGTATGACGATCATCCAGCTATGATACAATGATATGAGTTATTAGGGATGTCACCTTCATTGGTGAGTTCTGAGGTGACTAAAGAGGCCGATACGGGACCGGCAGTGCCGTTCACAGATATTACACTTGTGGATGTCTCCATCTAGTGCGGGAGGGGCGGCGGCAGCGTCTCTCCGGCGTTGGCGCTTGTTTGCCTCGGTTTGCAGTCGGGCTAACTCGAAAGTATTGACACCGTCTCGTGTGGTGCTCCTCCAAGCGTTACGGTGTGGAGTAATCGTCTCCCAGGTGAGGGGGTCGACTTGGCACTTTTTCAGGTTTGTCTTAAGACTATCCTTATACCTTTTCAGTTGCCCGCCAGCGTTACGCTTACTATTCTTTTGGTGACTGTCAAGTAGCTGGTTTGGCAGTCTACTGTCGCCCATGCGGGTAACATGGCCAGTCCAGCGTAGGTGTTCATGGATAATGGTAGCCTCGATGCTCCTACAGTTGGTGTCGGCGAGAATACTGGCATTTGTTCTCTTGTCTTCCCAGCGAACTCGGAGGATGGAACGTAGACTACGTTGGTAAATATACGTGCAACTTTATCGATAGTTTCAGCTCCCTACAGCTAAAGACACGGTTTCGGAGTCTGCCAAAGGCTTGAGATGCACATCCGGTCCGATGTTGAATCTCTTCATCGATGCCCGCGGTGGTGGACAGGTGGGAGCCGAGATACCGAAAGTGGGTAACATTAGAGAGGGTAGTACCGTTAAGCTGGATGGATGGTGGAGGTGTGGCTGAAACCCCATCCTCACCCTCTCATCTTCATGTACAAAAACCACTGAATCTTTGCTGTTTTTCGTGTATCATCATCATCATCATCATCATCATCATCATCATCATCATCATCATCATCATCATCATCATAGGATTCAGAGAGCTTAATCAAGGTATTGTCTTCCTCAGGGCAATGGTCTGGAGCTGAAGGATAGTTTAACTGGGCTAGGAGGAGCGGCTTGGGCCTATCCTATGTACTATCCTTACGACACCTTGGCTGCCTATCCCTTCTCCCATGGGTAAGTATTATACTGTGTGTGTGTGTGTGTGTGTGTGTGTGTGTGTGTGTGTGTGTGTGTGTGTGTGTGTGTGTGTGTGTGTGTGTGTGTGTGTGTGTTAACGGAATAAGATGTCCATTAATAATTTTTTTACCATTTGTATTGTATTTGATCTATTAATTACTGATTATTTTTTATAATTTAGTTTTTAAGTAATTATTCAAGAGTTTATAATTATTTGTGTAACCATTTTTATTATTATTATTATTATTATTATTATTATTATTATTATTATTATTATTATTATTATTATTATTATTATTATTATTATTATTATTATTAGTTTTTTTTTAATATGTTTATCTATTACCAATACTGAAAAAAATTCCTATCATGTATATCCAAAATTACTCTGATCACCTATGTATTTTTCAAAGGTCTTGTGTATATAAACGCCAAATTATGTTGATAACAAAGAACATGACACAAACAGCAGACGCTAAGGTCAGACAGTAAGACAATATTCCTACGTAAGAGTAAGTTTAACCCTACCTGAAGCTCTTTATGTACAGGTGGAGGGTGTTGTTCAGGCTGTGAGGGGTTGATGCTGTGTTGCAGAAGAACACACACACACACACACACACACACACACACACACACACACACACACACACACACACACACACACACACACTACTACGTCATTGTAAGGTCGGAAAATGTTCATCATTCAATAAAACATAATACCTCAGTAGCTAAAATTTATAGTGTTGAGAAATGTTAAGTCTAAAGGTAAAGTCTAAAAGTAAAGTCTAAATGTTAAGTCTAAATGTAAAGTCTAAATGTTAAGTCTAAAAGTAAAGTCTAAATGTTAAGTCTAAATGTTAAGTCTAAAAGTAAAGTCGAAAAATAAAGTCTAAAAGTTAAGTATAAAAGTAAAGTCTAAATGTTAAATCTAAATGTTAAGTCTAAAGGTAAAGTCTAAATGTTAAGTCTAAATGTAAAGTCTAAATGTATGTGTATATATTTTTCATTTTTCATAAGAGCAACAACCGATAACACTCGCCCTTTTCGTTGGTGTGGTTGAATCGACCAGCTGAATAATCTACCAGGCTTTTAGACCACCAAATTCCTCCAGGATTTCGAGTCGCGTTAAACTGCATTTTGGAATAAAAGTCTATGTTTTAATAAGCTAAACAGACTCACCACCAATTTGGGGATATACAAAATTAATCATATCGAAAAGTTGGATAAAAGGCGAGCAAGTGAACGACGACTTCCTCCTGCCGCCTTGCAACATTGATCACCAATTACGGCTATTTTTTTTTCTCTTCCTCGGTAACCCTTTTACTTGTGCAGCCTAGCGGTTAGGTAGTATTTTCCTGATTCATTCTAGCAGACAATATACTTGACCGATGTATCCTAGCGGGAATTGAATAATATTATACATGAGGTGTTTTATTTTTGATGCGTCAGATCAGCGCCATGTTATGTTTAGTCGTTGTTGTTTTTCTTTGCCATCTTTAGACGTAAAAAACAATCACTTGTTTTATTTTGTTGTTTACGCATCATTCCTCGCTTTATTGAATCCATACGTTAGACGAGGTTTGCGTATATTGAATCCACTTCCGTTCGTCTTTTCTCTGTATATATTCGTTTCTTTATCCGTTTATACTTACGTTCACTCATGCATTTCATTTTTTTTGGATCATATCTCAAAAACAAAAAATTTCACACATGATAAAACTGTTACTAACTTTTGTAATATTTCTGTAACGTATAATGACTGTATCCCACTTGTTCCATTTCATAAGTATTTTGTACTGTTGGGTGTAATTACATAATTTTTTTTTTCTACATTGGGCGGTAAATGTAATTGAAATGTTTGGTTCCATGTTTTAAGTGATTCCTGGAATAATGAAATGAGTTTGAATGTTATTATGGCGAATGTTTTATCCTGGTGTTAGTTATGTTGATGGTCATTGTTGTGTTTGTTGATGATGATGATGATGATGATGATGGTGATGATGATGATGATGATGGTAGTAATGACGGTGATGATTGATGATAGTGATGATAATGATGATAAGAATAATATTGATGATGATGATGGTACCTGACATACTACACCAGACACCTCCCTTATACCTTACACCAGACACCTCCCTTATACCGTAGATCTTGTTTCACACGTTCACCGGACACTCCAGCGGTTGTCAGGATGGAAGAAATTATAGACAAGTGTAAATAATGTTGTACAGAAGGCAGCTATCATCGGGATGAACGAGGATGCTAGGATAATTATAATGTGGCGAATGATATGTTACTCTGAGTGTTGTTGGTCGTCAATATGCTTAGACAATTATAGAGGATTGATCGTCAGATGTCATTCAAGATTTTTTTAGAAAAGTTATAGAAGAAAATGGATTTGTTTAGGAGTTTCGTTGAGGATGATAGTAGTCGACTCAACGAGGCTAATGACGAAGACGACGAATTAGACATTTGCAGTAGACGGAAGAGAGATCCCCATCATACAATCCATCCATGAAGACCATAGCCAAGTAAGAGGAGGAGGAGGAGGAGGAGCGACCACGGCTAGCGATCCACCCGTCAACACACAGTAACCACACCGTCGACGCCCGCGATTATACAGGCGATATTTTCCGTAATTGAGTTGTCGACATGGAAGCTCCCTCGGTGGCGTGTGCGTGGCTCCTTAACACCCGTATTGATTATAGGTGAGTCTGCGCCATAAGTCTCCCTCGACTCAGGGGAGTGTGTGTGTGTGTGTGTGTGTGTGTGTGTGTGTGTGTGTGTGTGTGTGTGTGTAGAGGAGGATCAGTTCAGTTGACCATGATAAAATATGAGGTGTTTTTTTTTTTTTGTCATTATATTGCTATCGTCGTCACCATCATCATCATCATTATTATCCGAGGGAGCGTTTTGTCACAGCCATAACCGCGTGTTTTTCTAGAGGAGTTACTGTACTACATCTCTCAAGTGTGACTCGAGCCGTGTTATTAAGTGTGTGTCACTGTACTGCCGTCAACTGTGTTAGTTCCTGTACCTGAGTGTGTCCTCCGCCGTCTACAACACACACAGGTCCTCCCACGAGTTGATTACGTCATCGCTACTGCCTATCTATATCTTCCTACCCACTCTAATTTTCTCCCCTTATCTCCATCCTTCCTCTTCCCCTCTTCTCCCTTTCCTCTTTCCCTCTCCTCCTCTTCTATTTACTCTCATATTCGCATCCCATGATAACTTACTTACCCTGAGTACCACCTCTTTATATATATATATATATATATATATATATATATATATATATATATATATATATATATATATATATATATATATAAAGATTCTATTAACGTTGTCGTATACATCTTTCTCTGCAGGTTTTTTTAAGCCTGAGACTAGTGATCCAAATAAGACCATTTTGGAGCGATAAATAAATATGTAAATCACCCTAAAATGTGAGACTAATAAGCCCGTCCGCAATTTATAGTCAAATTCTGACATCGGCACTCCGTCTCTCAGCCCGCCGCATAAGGCCGCCAGGGGGATGTATACAATCACGCGGTCTGGATGAGCGATTTGTGCTCCTATGTCACGAGCGCTGTGGGGTCATGACGGGCGGTGTAGCGCGACACGAGGGATGCGCCTGTCGCACTTTGTAAAAACGCCCAAATTAAACGGTTTTCGAGAGGACTCGGGGTGCGAAAAAGCCATCGAATACATAATATATGAGCAGCCGAGAGGGGCTCCTCTTGATAAAACTTTTATTCAGATTGATTCCAAATGAAGAAGAGCTATTTTTTTTAAAGCGCTTAGCTGAGGAAGGGGGAAAGGAAAGGGAGCATGGAAGGGAGCAGGGGAGGAGGGGGGAGGGTAGGCTATAGGGGATAGAGACGGTGGAGATGGGGATCAAGACAGTGGAGAGTCAATAATCCAGGAGTGTCACTGGTGTAAGACAAACTCTCCTGACGCTGCTGAGACTGCTCGGGCGGGTGAGGAGTGTTGCCCAGAAATTAATGGAGAGAAAAAGACTGGGCCTGGGCTGCCCCCACACAACCAGGGGGGGGAGGGTGAGGGGAGAGGGTGGATGGAGGGGGGGGCGGGGAATGACAGGTGGGGTGGCTTAGGGGGTTAGTGAGGGGAGAATGGGGTGGGAGGGAGATGCTGAGAGAGGCGAGATAGTAGGGAGAAGTTAAGGATGGGAAGGAGGGAAGGAGGGAAGGAAAAAGGAGGGGGAGGGAGGGAGGGGAGGGAGGAGGTATAAACGCGTGATGAAGGAATAAAGATGAATGGATGGATGGATGGATTTAAGGGAAGTGATGACACAGGAGGATGGGGAGGCGATAAAATGAGATGTATGGAGGCAGTGTGGTGTCGCAGAGGGGGGGGGAGGGGGGAGAAAAGGCAAGGAATAAAAATATAGAAGAGGAAGAAAAGAGGAAGAGGAGGGAGGAAGAAAAGGAGGAAGAGGAAAAGGAGGAGGAAGAGGGGGGCCTCTCACAGTAGGTTCTTGAAGGAGATGATTTTCGTGGGTCCAACTAGTGAAGGATGGTTAGCTAGCTGGGTATCCCAATCCCACACAGGTATCCCAATAAAGTGTGAAGACTTACAGTAAGAGACACACTACAACAGAGATGTGTACCTAAGTAGACTTAAGTATGATAAGTATATTTATGGTCATACTGTCATACTAAATCACACATATTGAACCCTACATAAAAGAGAAGTCGATTCATTCTTACATTTGTGTCAGAAATAAGGTTAAGTTAGTGTTCGTGTGGTTAATCTTTAGGCTGGGGTGTGACTCTAGAGGTGATCCAAGTTAAGGCGCAGTATATAGAGTTAAGTGATTACCAGACATTAGTAGAGGTAGTTTGTACGTGGGTAAGGTGTAAGGCAGTGTGGGTCACCTTACAAGTGGCGGCAGGTGAGGAGGCGCTGTAAGTGTCTCACACCTCAACACTGTGTGCCCGTCCGCCTGCCTGCTGATGCTTGTC